TCGTTCGAGCAGTTTTAAAAATACGGGAAAGATTGATATTGGTCTGTAATTATTTAAGGAAGATGTATCTCCGGATTTATAGATAGGAATAATTTTAGCTATTTTTAAATAGTCGGGTACAATTCCTGTAATTATTGAAGAGTTAAATATTTGAAAAATGGGTTTACTTATTTCTGGGAAGACATTCAAAATAATATTGGCTGGGATATTGTCGATACCTGGACCTTTGTTAATTTTTAATGTTTTAATTGCTGTTTCAAGTTCTTCGTATTCTAGTTCTTTAAAAACTAGGGAGCAACGAGAGTCCTCGATGTAATTCTCAAATGAATTGTTTGTAGGTTGAATTTTAGAGGCGAGTTTGGAACCTATACTTGCAAAGTATTTGTTAAATTTTTCAGAGATAATTTTTTTATTATTAAACTCTTTTTCACTTGTGAGAACTTTTGGAGGTAGTTGGTTCGAGTTTTTTTTATCTTTACCAATTATTTCTTTTATAATATCCCAGATTTTTTTTTTATCTCCTTTAAATTTTTGCATTTGCTTTGAAAAATATAGTTTTTTGGATTTTAATTTTATTTTTTCAAATAGATTTTTATATTGTTTATACTTAGACAAATTAAAATGGTTTCTATTTTTTAGATATTTTATGTAGAGTTTTTGTTTTTGTTTTGACGATTTTCTTATTCCTTGGGTAATCCATGGAGTGGTTAGGTATTTTGCTTTAATTTCTTTTTCGACCTTTATTCTAGAGATTTAGGAAAATATTTATAAACTTATTGTAAGCGGAATTTGTGTGTCCGAGGTTACATTCATGATATATTTTTGACCAATTTACTACCGCTAGTGAGTCTTTTAGTTTTTGGGTCGAGAATTTGTTTATGCTTCTTTTGATGATTTTTATTTTCAAGTTATTGACACGTGTTGCTTGTTGTGATTGTGAGAAGTAAATTGGGAAGTGGTCAGATATATCCGTTTTAATTATTCCTACTTTTAAGGATGGATCTTGAATTGAATTTGTCAATATATTGTCAATAGCTGTAATTGAGGTGGGAGTTACCCGGGCGGGTTTGTTTATAATTGGGAAAATGTAATGTTGTATCATATCATCGAAAAAATTTTTGGTATTAGCGTGTTCATGATAGCTTAGGTAATTTATGTTCATGTCACCAATACAGAATAGTTTTTTATGTTCAACATTGCTTGTTGTATATATTTGTTTCATAAAACTTGAAAACATTATAATATCTCCATCGGGCGGTCTATAACAAGAGGATATTAAGAGATTTTTGTAGTAGCATTAATGACTTCAACTGTAAAGTTGAAGTCATTAATGATACTATTTGAATCAGAAATAGAAAGAACATTTCTAATTTTTGTGTTTAAGTCATTATGGATGTAGGTTATTATTCCACCTCCTCTTTTGTTAGCTTTTCTTTCATAAGAAATAAGATTATAATTAGGGATTAGGAGGTTTGAATTTGTATAAGAATTTTCGTCAGAACACCAAGTTTCTGTAAGACAAATCATGATAAAGGAATATTTGCATTCGAAAAGGAAAATTTTTAACTTATCGATATTTGTATTTAAGCTCCTAATGTTTATGTGTATTACCGTAAACTCGTCTATATTGTTATGAAGTTCAGCTTTAAAAGTTTTAGTATCAAAGTATGGAGAGTCAGGTCCATTAAAAATAAATAAATCGTCGTCGTATAAATCATTCGCAAAGATATTATTTTTAGTTTTAAAAAAGTCAAAACGCAACTTATCAAAATCTTTTGTTATAAAATCATTAGCCATGACAAAAAAAGAATTAAATCAATTTTTTTTTTTTTTTTTTTATTAGAATTCGATTTGAGTAAAGTTATTTTTAAAAGCGCGTATTTTTAAAATCTCGACTAAAAATTTTATCATACTTTAAAATAGCGTATTTACCTTCGCTACGTAATTTTTTCACTTCTTCCCAAAGCTTCCTTCGATGTTCGATAGTTTCTTGGGCAAAATCTTCGTTTATGTAAATGCCAGTTCCTTTAAGATGAGTTAATGAGTTGAGCATTTTGTTTTTGTTGTGGAAGCTCAGGAGTTTTAAAACTATTGTTCTTGGTTTATTATCTTTCTTTTGACCGATGCGATGTGCTCTTTCTATAACGACTTCCTTTGATATTTTTAATTGATTATTAAAGAATTTTTTTACCTCTTTTTCACAATCATCCCAGCTTTCTCCTGGAGACTCTTTTAGTCCATCTATTCTTAGATTATTTCTTCTGGAACGATTTTCCAAGTCTATTGACTTTTTATATAATGTATTTATTTGATTGTCATAATATTTTTTTAAGTGTGAAATGTTTTCTAAAGTTTTATTCTCTTGAAAACTGAGGCTGTCTTTTATTTCATTCAGGTCTTTTTCGATATTCTTTATTTTCGACTTGTTGTTGTTGTTGTCTTTCTCTATTAGGTCTAGTCTATCAGTTATAATTTTGAGGTTGGCACTCATTATTAAAGTAAATGATTTTTCTTGCTCTTTAAGTAGTCGTTCAGTTTCTTTAAGATTACTTTTTTTGTGTTCCTCGAGTTGTTTTGTGATAATTTTTTCGATGCTTTTTATTGTAATATCCATTTTTATGTAAATTTTATCGCTAATAAAAAACACGCCTTATTTCCGCAAAATCTCCGCAAATATGATACGTCTGATAATCCTACTATTTGCTAACTTTTCTAACTGCCTTTAGGTAACCATTTTACAGTCTCTAATACACAAAAACTAGATTTGAGGTTGTTTGTATTTAGTTTAATTAATATAACAACGTTATATAATTTCTATGCATCATTATAATACTGTTTTGCTTTGTTTACATAAAAATACGTCTGACATTTTTATTATCAACACACTTCTTTTATTAATTAATGAAGAGTTAAATCAAACATTAAAATGTTCGAACAACATATATTTCGAACAACATATATTTCGAACAACATATATGCAAACAACATATATTTCGAACAACATATATTTTGAACAACATATATTTCGAACAACATATATTCGAACAACATATATTTCGAACAACATATATTTCGAACAACATATATTTCGAACAACATATATTTCGAACAACATATATTTCGAACAACATATATTTCGAACAACTTATATTCGAACAACATATATTTTAGGAATTCAATGTATTGGAGGACAATTGGTTGTATAGAACCATTATTAAAACCCAAAACACTTAATAAATTTCATTAAATGACCCTACCATAAAAAAATGTATATGGCCCCGCCAGAAAAAATGCGTAATCGCATTCTCTTGTATAAACAACATAATTCTCTCGTATATTCAAATTATTAATTATAATTTAATTATTATATATATTTTAAATATGTAAATTCATTTATTTATTAAAAAATTAAATTATTAATTATAATTGAATTAAATTAAATTTCATTATTAATTATAACTAGCAGTAAGCAACCCGTAATACGGGTTATTAGTAATTAAATTATAAATAACAATGAAAACACATTAATAACTTGATATATTATTTAAAAAATAAAATTAAGTAAAATTTATCTCTAAATAATATTTTAAGTTTGATTTCCTAACAGCAAGATTATTTTTAGCTTATAGTTAACGAAATAAAAAGAATGCATTAACATCAGTTAAGTTCTTTTAAAAATGTCACAACACAGTACCAGAAAAGAAAGTCAAGCAAATACTACCAATATCTAAAAAAAAAAAAAAAAAAATAATTATTTTCAATTACAAAGTATTATTTGCATTTTGTTAGTATAATTAGAATAATAAAACACAGTAACAATAGCGCATAGCATAAGGCTATATTAATGTCTTCAGAATAATTAAAAAAGAAAAGATTATAAAAACAACGTAATACATACAAACACAACGTAATAACACTGGCAAATAACTCTACAACTTAATAAGTTATTTTATCAACTAAAATACTTGAAACTAAAAAGATTTTATTTATTACAATATTTGAACAACCAAGTGACAATTAAAGTTAAACAATTAAAAGAATTTGATCTTAAAATAGCAAGCAAGTCGTGATATATCTTATAAATTGTCATTATCAATTGTAGTATTAAAAAATACGCAAGAGCTCAGTAACTACATGAGTTTTATTAATTCGCCCTGTACTAACTCTCATTTAAGTCTCATATAAGAGAGATGAAGTGTTTCAAAAGCAGCATGTTAGAAAAAGTAAAAAAAGACTTGCAATAAATAACAGCAACTGGTTTTATTATGCAAAATTGTTTTTATTTTAACTAAAAGTTAATTTCCAGCAATTCTTAATTAAGTTCCAGCTTCTCTCTAACTGTTGACTAATAATTAATATAGTAAATTTCACAACACATTAAATTTACAAAATTAAAACCATGTTTCAACAGTAAGCAACTTAATAAGTTATTTTATCAACTAAAATACTTGAAACTAAAAAGATTTTATTTATTACAATATTTGAACAACCAAGTGACAATTAAAGTTAAACAATTAAAAGAATTTGATCTTAAAATAGCAAGCAAGTCGTGATATATCTTATAAATTGTCATTATCAATTGTAGTATTAAAAAATACGCAAGAGCTCAGTAATTACATGAGTTTTATTAATTCGCCCTGTACTAACTCTCATTTAAGTCTCATATAAGAGAGATGAAGTGTTTCAAAAGCAGCATGTTAGAAAAAGTAAAAAAAGACTTGCAATAAATAACAGTAACTGGTTTTATTATGCAAAATTGTTTTTATTTTAACTAAAAGTTAATTTCCAGCAATTCTTAATTAAGTTCCAGCTTCTCTCTAACTGTTGACTAATAATTAATATAGTAAATTTCACAACACATTAAATTTACAAAATTAAAACCATGTTTCAACAGTAAGCAAAATAATCAAGTGATGACAAAGGCAACTAAAAAAAAAGCAAAAAAGCAAAAATTATGTTTTAGATTACAAAAAAAATAAATAAATTAAAATCATATAAATTTGAAACTGTTGATAATTGTTACTATAAATAGTAAAATTCATTATAAAATACATTAAAAGACATTAACACCGCTTGACACTGAATTCTGGCAAGTTTTTGCTGTTCATTGAGCAGCTTTTCAATTGCACTAAAAAATAAAACACATCTTGCTTGACTAAGTTGCCTAGATCTTAAGAATCTTAAAACACATAAGTAAAAAACCAAGAACATTTTTAATATATATATAATAACAAAAATAGGTTTGAAAACTATCAAAAATCTATATATTATCTTATTTATTAACAAGTATAATCCATTCACTTTAAATTTTTTTTCTAGATAAACAGTTTTTAAAGCATTCAAGGACATCTCTTTCTGACTGCTAAAGTATAGTTTTCGTGCATCCTTAACATGTCCCATAGGTTTAGTTCTCATAGCCAATTGGGATGATTTTATACTTTCACTGCACATGTGGTCATGTACAGTTCTCTGTGCAACAAGAGAATCAGTTAGCATATTATTATCCAGAAGTTTGTCTTTATACTAAATCTACGCTCTACTTGTGCTTGGCCATGGGACAATATTAGTAGCAGTTGGTAAATTTTCATTAAATCCTTAAATCTTGAAGCATCTGTATATTGAACCAAAAAAGAATCCAATCTATCACTTTCTTTTTGAACCCAAGAAATTTTTCCTTGTTCACTTTTACAATAGTAGTTAAAAATTGTGAATACTCTGTGATTAGCAACTTAAAGTGATACCTTTTTATAAGCAACTAACTTCAGCAACAACTTGTCAAAATAAAGTTCATACTTCTCATGAGATTCAACCATGTACAAAAGTGATAAACATAACAAGTATCTGGCAAAGTATGAGTTTAGAACTCTTTTTTCAACATTTTTTTACACCTTTAGCTCAACTGGTGGCTCAATGACTGTTTGTATTTCTTTTATCACTCACAGGCGTATTTTGTTTATATCTTTATTCATTAACATGTATTTTCAATGTGTTTGTATCCAGATCTGCAACATATAAAATAACACACGGCAATCATCTAGGTTGTATTTAAAAAATTCAGAATATATTTTGCAAAAAATATATAACAAATGTTAAACAATGCAGAATAATTTACTTTATAAATTTAGCATTTGGCTGGTGGCTTTCTCAACTTCATGATAAGTGATAATTGAAAAAGTTAACAAAAAAAAGGTATTTCATAATTATATTTTTAGAAAAAAACTTATTTTGAAAAACACATATTTATGAACAACTTTTTAACTTTGAGCATAATATAAACATATATGCAAACTTTTAACAACTATAAAAAAACATTTATTAGCATCAATTATTTTTAATGTAACAAAGAATGCAGACTGCAAAAATGCACAATATTGTTATTAAAATTGAAGTTATGTCAGTCAGTGTATATTTATCTAAAAAGATGAAACCATTTAAGAACAAAATTCAAAATTTCTAATAAATAAATATAATACCTTAAAATGAAGCCTAACACAACGTTCCTTTGACAAATTCCAGAAGAATTTTTTTTAATTTTCCTATTCATAATTATTTTTCCTAAGAGAAAATATACATAAAGATATAGAGAAATATAAAATAGACTGAAACGCAAACTTATGTATATAAACTTACATGACCACAAATAATAGTCTTATATAACTTTTCATATTAAATACATAAATAAAATTTTATTCTCATTATTCTTTTTACAAAAAATAATCGTTATTTATAAATAATAAAACGAATTGGACTTACTAAAAAAGACATCAGCTCCTCTTAACTGCTTTAAAAAATAAAACAATACTTGCTTAAAATATTCTAAAAAGACTAACGACAAAACAGTTTACTAAAAAAGAAACATTGTACTAAAAAAACTATTTAACTAGCCATTTTAGTTCTAACTTCTTCTAAAAAATGAAAACAGGCTATGAAAATTAGAAAAATGAAAAACAACCAACAACAAACAAACAGTTATTTATATTTTTTATTTAGTTTTTAATTTCAATCAATTTTTTATAAAAAACAGTACCAATCTTTGTGTTGTGTTTTGCAAAAAAGTTAAAGAGATCTTTTGAAGAACCTTTTTCTTTTTGGAAAAAAAGAGACTAAAGAAACCTAATAATAACTCTACTAGTTTCTTAACATTACACAATGGGCCAGAGGCAAGCAAAATTCTTCAAATCCAACTTCTATATTGGCGTAATTTATTTTAATAAATGTAATTTAGAGACCCCCAGCACTATAAAATTAATACAATTTTTCCCTACAATGATTTTTAAATATTGGGCAAACTGGAAACTACATTATTCGAAGTTGTCTCGCTGGCCTCGTGTTTCTTTTTTATAAAAGTTTTAACGACATATTAGGCCGGAAGAATAAAAAAAAGCAATTGCTTTTACTCAGGAATTGCTCAGCTTTTCGTGAATAAAAACTTAAGCAAAATTTACGTGAAATTTTTACTCACGTAAAACTGACCAATTATTAGGTAAAAGCAATTGCTTTTTTTATTGACCCAGCCTATTAGTTCATAGACATCGTATATTAAATTAAAAAGAATTATGATTTTTTTTTTTTTTTTTACGCTTGCATTTTTTTCAATTAAATCCCTTTATACGTGCAACCTTGTTTTCAAAAAAACGTTAGACCACGCATGTGAATTATGTATATATAAAAGTTTAGAACCAAATTTTTGAGGTCAGCTGAGTGCAGTAGGTGCAAAACTTTTTTTTATAAATGATATCCAATCATACACTTTACCTTAAAAAACTGAAGAAGACGCAGAAAGAACAGTCTTAGATTTTTAATCGTGTAGGTCTTGTTAAAACTTTTTTTAATAGAAACTTTAATATTGTCATGGAAAGTTATAGACTTTATATTTATTTATATTTATAATTAAATTCGATGACGACTATGTGATTTTCGTTTAACACTTTTTTTATGTAATTATTTTTATTAAGTTTAAGCGTTTTTTTTGTAAGTTTTTGTGGATTATTGTATTGTATTAAATTTATGTGAACATGTGAAAAAGTTGACTTATGGAAGAAAATAGTTAATATTTGTATTTATGAATGGAAAGAGTTTTATGTAAAAAGAAGAGTTTAATTTTGTGAAAAGAATTTTATAAGAAAAAATGATATACAAATTTTGAAAGTGAGAAAACATCATCTAGTAACTTTTAATTTTGTGTTTATGCGACACAATGATCGCAACAAGTGACCAACGGAGCCGTCCAGTTTTGTAAACCTGAGAGATGTGATGATAAACAGTTAGAAAATGGTGTCATTGAATAAAAAATAAAAATCATAAGAAAATATAAAATGAGTGATAAGACTTTTGTGAAGGTAAAAAACGAAGTAAATGCTCGGAGGGCAGGGAGAGAACAAACTAACACTCTAATCACTCTGTATGTAGATCATATGTAACAAAGAACAAATATTTGATATAGTGATTTTGAAGACCGTTGATGTCTACAGGTGTGATGGTGTAGTGCATTAGTACGTACCGTTTGTTGTCTAGTATGGTCTCGTTATGTTTCCGTTCACTTTCAAATCGGGTGAATAGAAAGCTAAACACACTCACTTCTTGCGCTTATAGGCTAGCACATCAGAGCCAGACGTGAGACCTACAGAATGGATTTCAATTGATCGACTGCACACATTAGTCACCGTAGGCCACAAGCCATCACTCTTAACCAAAAGAGCTACTGCCCCGTGCTGGTGTGGAATGATGTGCTATGAAGTAAGATTTCAGATCCGAGCACATAGTCAGCGAGCGCTGATCCGACGTGCATTGTGGAGCTTCCGACTGAACGTGTGCGTGAGTGTCAGCGTAGTCATTAGGTTATTGAGCGCCGTAACCACATCCAGCGGGATAGCCTAATGTCCGTTTTGTCGTTGTGGCGTACGTTGGAAAAAGTCGGGGCTCACCAGCCACAAAGAATAAATTTTTTTGCATATGCGACACAATGATCGCAAAAAGTGACCAACGGAGCCGTCCAGTTACGTAGACCTGGGAGATGTGAAAAAAAAACAGATTGAAGATGATGTCATTTAGGTAAAAAAACATAAATTAATGTAAAGATTATTTAGTAGGAGGAATAAAAGTTAGCAACTAAGGAAAAGAGGAATAAAAACTCACACTCTAGTCATCTTTTAGCAAATGATAAAACAATGATCTATGAAAAAACAAGTCAATAAAAATCCGCTGGTTTATAATGGTATTCATAACTAAAATAATCGCACCATACAAGTGTCTAATAAATGTGGTACTATATATGTTCTAAACTCTAGATAAAAAATTAAGAACTGATAATCACCTGTGTAACATAAAAATATATAAATGTCGTAAATGTAACAAATTCATAATAAAAAGCTCACAAAGCGCAAAAATACATGGGTTTAAGAGGTAAAGAAATGTTGGTGCCATAATAACCAATTAGAATTAAGTAGTGGATAAATGGTGATCTCCCTCCTCAGGAATGCACTGCGATCACCAATGACGTTTCGGAGAGCCCGAGACCTGCACTAACGCCACTCGTCAGGAGCGTGTCCTTGCAACAGATCTCACCGCCTGCACTCTACGTTATGCTAGTCAATATTGCAATATAATAGGACTACACTACAAAAGCCAAAAAACCCAATCTCTATCCCAGTTTTTGAAAACAGCTCCAACATTCTTAGAGATCTTGTGAGGGTGGTGAGGAATGCGCGTGGTGTGACCATAAACAGATATGTAAACACATATAAATATAAGGTACCCTTACATTAGAAGAAACAAACTTGTACACATGTACGTATGCGCGTGTGTAAATAAACAATTATAATGTGTAGAAATAACAAAAAGCGAATAGAAAATAGTAATTAATTATTAATAGTAACTTACCGTTTCTTTTATGGCTGAAATATGTATTATAAATATAATAAGTTGTCTTATCACAATGTCTAAGTTCCTTAGACATTGTGAATTTGCAGTTTAAAAACCAAACCGTTTTGCATCCTTTTTT